TTTAATCTCTGAAGAAAATCTGTCAGTATAAATAAGATACATATTGTATTTAGTATTTAAACTTTCTTATAGTGCAAGATAAGGTTTAATCTATTCCTCATTACAATATCGGCTTCTGCAGCATTGACATTAATATTATTATTTTGAGAAATCATGACATGCATCATCTAACCTAATCAGCATGAATAAATATAGTAAAAAGAAATGAAACTTTAAGAAGTAAGTATCCGTCATTGTGTTTCACTGTAACAATCAGATATTATTGTAGTTTTAATGCTGTTATAAAGTTGGTCTTTTTCATGCAGCCCCAGAAAAAAGATGATTTAAACCTTAATGAACAACCAGAGGTCTGTTAGTGGGGTGGAACTCACAAGTTCACAAGACTGCATCTGTTTTTAAAATAGACTCTTTTGCTAGATCTCATTGTACTTTTGTTCATATTGCACCTCAGTTCATTTCCCAAAGAGTTTCTAGATTTAAATGACCTGTGATCAACATGTGCAGTATAACACAACTAGTTCCACATGGTATCATTTCACAGCAGCTACAAATATATCATACATATTCACTCAAATATTCACTCAAGAAGGACTGAGAATTGTCCTCGTGTCAAAGATTGCAGGGCTATTTTAGGTTACTTTTAGCATGTGAATCATATCTGCTATATATGTTGTAATAACTCTTACTATCTTGCTGTCATGAGGAGGCCTTTATTGATGAACTGTAACATTAATGGACAGTTAACTTGATTTGTAGGATTAAAAATCAGTGTCATTAATGATAATATAAAGAAAATATTTTCAAATCTTTTGTTCAAAAGTTGTTTTTTTTTTAAACTAAAACAGATACAACAAATTCAGATTTGACATCTAGTTGGGTTTTTTTATACTATTATTTAAGCTATTATTATAACATTAAATTTGTACAAAGTAGTTCTATTTTTATAGCATTTGATCATAAAAATCTGATCTTTTTATGTTAAAATTTTACTTAAGTCTTTCTCCTGTTGAACACTGCCTTTCTGTTAATCGCCCTAATAGACTTAAGTGAGGATAAATAGCGATGCTTGTAGAGCAGTATGATCAGTAATGCGTTATTTCCAGCCTTCAACTACAGTGTTATTAAATGGTTCCACAAAAGTCCCTTGTATGCCAAAATACTTTATTTTCTTATCTCCACCTCAGCCTCCTTTTGAGCAGAGAGAACTTGAAATTGACCAGCTTTGCTTTCGTTGTACTTGTGGTTGTGTTTATAATGACAGATGACTATCACAGGCCAGGAAATATCTGCAGCATTGGAAACTGAAACATCACGAGAATGCATTTCCCAAAGGATGTGTACTAGTAATCTCAGGTGAACTGAACGCAGGACATGTTTCAAGATCTGCTGGTCTTCTTGTAAGCTGTGGTCATCACAGAGCAGAATAAACGTAAAGAACTCTCCACATAAAAATGAACTTAGAAATTATTCACCTAACTGTGATATTATCACAAAACGAGATATGGATGACTAGTCAGCATTTTTCTGTAGAAGCCCAGACAAGTTCTATTTTTAGTTGATAGTTCTGTGACTAAAAACTCTCCTTTACAATCACTGTGAATCACTTCACTGTAATTTTAATGCTTTTAGATGTGTTTAGTTACTGCGCTTTGTACGCTGCATTTTCCAATAAAGTGAACCTTGTGTAAATATAATTTAATTTACTGTAATTTACTGATGTTTTTCTATAATGTGATCATAGATTGAATGCTGTAATGAGAGAAGCACAGCTTCTGTAGTACTTCTATTGTAAACCAGAGGAAAGCATGAACTGAAGTGTTCTACCGCCCTCTAGGGGTCCTCTCTCTCTCTCTCTCTCTCTCTCTCTCTCTCTCTCTCTCTCTCTCTCTCTCTCTCTCTCTCTTTCTCTCTCTCTCTCTCTCTCTCTCTCACCTCTAATTATTTATAATTATATATATTATATATGTGTGTATATATATATATATATACAAATACAAATTTAACCTTTAATTGTGCATCTTAGTGTATTTACAGCTATATGCAAGAGTTTGAACACCCCTAGTCAAACTGCGTGTTTGTTCTAAGTTAGTTAATACATGTGGAGAACATATGTATTCTGCACAGTAATACACAGTTAAAAAAAAAATAAATGAATACAATTAAAAAAAAAAAACTAAAATGTGGTCTGTGCACAGCTTTTTTAAGGTTGTTTTATTTTGAAAAATGGGATATGTTAATTAAAAACAACAAACAATAAACAAAAAAAAACATATATATATATATATACATAAAGTGTGTGTATGTATATATATATATATATATATATATATATATATATATATATATATATATATATATAAACATATATATATATATATATATATATATATATATATATATATATATATATACATAAAGTGTGTGTATATATATATATATATATATATATACACACACACATAAAATCCCTTAAAATATAAAAAAAGCTGTTCACAGGCCACATTTTAGTTTGTTTTTTTTTAGTTTTTAAACTGTGCATTAACTAATTTTCATGTAGAAAATGAACATATAATTAGGTCAGTGGTGCACATACATTTGAAAATAACATTTCATTATAAAAAATAATCAAAATGAAAACTCACTTTTTTATATTCTTATTAATAAAATATTTTATTTATTTATTTATTTATTTATTTATTTATTTATTTATTTATTTATTTAATGAATGAACCATCACATATGGTCTCATGCAAAAGTTTGGGCACCCTTGGTGTATTTGTTCAGTTGTTCGTACACTGTGTCTAACCATCTGATGAATAGCATGTGCAAAAGTTTGGGTACATTTTTGTATTTGTTTTCTGTGTTAAACTCAGCAAATAGAAACTGAGCACTAAATGTTAAACCAGTGCATATTACCTCCAATGCAACTATGTGCTCCAGTCAGCACCCAGCAGGGATTAATCAATCTAAACCTCAGCATTATTCATCTGCCCAATCACTGGCAGGTATGGGTGTGATTTCCTGTGGAAGTGTTTGAGGTCTGTGTCCTGTGATCCATTACTGTGATCATTAATATTGGAGCACGAAGAGTGATGGAGCAGAACTACCTGATTGAAGGCTGCTGATTTTACACTGGATTGATTGACAGGTCTTAGTTAACATTATTACAGTGCATCTCTCCGTAATGTGTTTGTGTATTATACATGAAGATGCTGACCTCTGTGCACAAGCATATCGATTAATAAATAAATAGCATACGCAGGGAGATGGGCTGGAGGTGCATACGATGGTACTGTGAATATGTAGAAATTGGAATATTAGATGTTTAATATGTCCTCAATCTATATTCATTTATAATAGAAACTTGGAAATTAACTATTTATTTATAATGTACAAAATATATTCTGTGCTGAAACTGGTGTCTCCCAAAAGTTTGTCATTTGAGTGAACTGATGTTTACTAAACCTGAACAAATGATCCTCCAGCAGTGGCTCTTATCCAACTTACTGTACTCTTGTAGAACCAACATACAATCATTTAATCACGTGGAATTAACAATAATAGGGTTTCATCTTTGGTACCATCATTTCAGATTTAATATTATACTATTATTAAGATTAGAAGTTATATTTATTATGTACTGTTAAAGAAAACCCACCTCTAATACAATAAGTTAACACATCCTCTACAGTGAACACACTACTGCACATTTTATTGCACAATTACTATTTATTTGATAAATTTAACATGTTAATGTTATAAATAAATAAACATATTGTTGTGATAAATAAATAATGCATAAAACGTGGTCTTCGCCAAAGTTATGGCACATTTTAATTTTATGTTTTATTTTTCCAGTATGTTAAACTCAGCAAATAAATGGAAACGATGCAGTACAGTTTGCAGAAATATGTTATATTTAAGTTGTTCTGTCCTCTTTAGAGGATGTGAAAACTTATTTCACTGTGAAAATCAACAAAACATCTAAATTGATGTGTGTGTTCAAACTTTTGCATATGGCTGTATACAATCTTATTTAAAGATTATTTGCTTTTTAACCAGAGGTATTTTATCTAGTTAAAAGTAAATAAATAAATCAATTAAACAAATTAATAAACAAATGAAGCTCAGCTCATGTCTTGAGTACTGCTGGTACTGTTGAGCATCACTGATTAGAGATGCATAGTAAGGGCAGCATTTGTAATCTTTTCTGTGTTGTTACAATACCTGTATAAGCTCTTATAAAACACTGATGTAAACATGTGTGGTAAAGGGAAATTCCACCATTTTCAAAATTTCAGCATTATTTAATCATTGTGATACAGTCAGATCATAATTTCATCATTTAAGCTCATAATTTTTATTTATTTGTTGAGTTAAACACAATGGGGGACTGGGCATAAAAAGCCATAACTTTTGTACATGCCACATTTTTTCTTCCCCAATATGTGAAATTCAGCAAATAAACAGTATCTGTGCATTTAAATGTACAGAAACGTGTTCTCTGTAGAACTGCAGGGTTGTACTGTGTGTGACTTCCTAACTTTTAACTGGTGTTTAAAGTTAAAGTTTACCACTAAACTTTTCTTCTTTTCACAAAAATGAAATGAGTAAACAAAAATGAAAAAAAATCATTTTAATTATATTCTCTGCTATGCCTATACTGACCTCTTTAGGTGAAAGAATGAATTGCTTAGCAGGACACCTTGATGGCATCTCTGCGCGTGAGTGAAAGAAGTATCATAATTGTGGTGTTTGTGTAACTATCAGCGATGTTGATGGGGCAGGTACACTTTGATGGGGGGTCATGACTGAACCCTGTGTCTTATTCGATCCCATATAATGCTACTTTTGAAATTGTACACTTGTGACTCACTATGAGGAACAAGAACAACATGCTTCAACCTTTAGCCTAAATTACAGCACTAATTTGGTTGAGACGTACAGTCATATCCCAAAGTTTGGGCACCTTTAGTCAAATGAAAAATTACAAAAAAATAATAAAATGCAAAAAAAGTTTTATTTCCACTGCTTGTGAGTACATACAGAAAACATAGGAGCTAATTTTTAAACACAATATTTTATTTTGGTTGTCTCAGGAAGTCTAACGGAACATCTTCAGAAACCACTGAAATGAATCATTTTGAATAGGATGCTGGCCTCTTTCCACAAGCAATCCTCAGTTTCATGTAATTTGAATGTAAAATACTTGCTAGGCTTTTATAAAATGATTTAAAATGGCTTAAATTAAATTAAAATGAAAATGATTTAAAAAGAAAATGAATAATTAATTAATTCATATATTGTTAATTATAAAGATTTTTTGACAGGATGAGTAATGCCTTGGTACTTGCTAAATCATATGTAACTGAATCAGGATTATTTAAAGGTAATAGTTTTCAGATTTGATTTGCTTGTCAGAAAATGAATGATTTGTCATTGTTTCTCATTTCCATCAGGGCCCTTCAGGACTGTGTAGCTCACTCAAAGACAGAGGAAGTTCTTCTTACTTCCTTTATGGCTTCCAACATTCTGCAAAATGGAAAGGCTCATAAATTCTTGAGCAGGTTGAAGAGTTACTGTTATGTGGTAGCGCCAGGTAGCACCTTTCTTTACATGTGCACCTCTTGATACATTTCACACAAACACTTGAAGATGGTACATATGAAATGAACAAATCAATGAAAACCATACCGCTCAGTGTCCACTCCAGCTGCACAGAGCTTGGCAAAGACACAGGTCTGTGACAGGGCATACTGAAACTGAGAGAAAGAGGCAGAGAAAGACTGCAGTGAGGATGGTGTAAGAGACACTGCGAGTATCTAAAGAATTCACACTGTAGCAGTAGCAGAAGTACACACATTCATTATTCAAGTCAATGTGCAAAGAAAAGTACTCTAGTAAAAGTTGTACAGTTTCAAATTCTACAAAAGTAGATTCAATTTATTTTGAGTATAAGAGTAAAAGTAGCACAGAAAATGACTGTGAAAGGGTTTCTAATGCATTGTTAAAAGGGCGTGTTCTCTTTTGAATATTAATCTTATTGAGGACGAATCAAATAAGAAAAAAGTAAAGCCATGGATGGGAAATGTCTGCAGTAGCTTCTTCAACAACTTTGGCTGACTTACTGTTGGTTGAATTATCATTGATATTGAGCATCATCCCTAAAGTCCTTTAAGCTGAAGCTTAAAATACATTTATATCATTTGGCTTTCAAAACTAGCTGATGTGAATGTTTTGTGCCATCTAGTGTTTCCTTGCTTCTGTTTTACCCCTTTAACCCATTTCCTTGTTTTACTGTCATTTGTTGTTTGCCTTTCTTATTTTTTTCTCCTGTTGGTTCTCCTTATAATTTTAATTTTGATTTCTTTTCTGTGACTGTATATGATCTGTGAAATCCACTTTAGTGCAATGCTAGTTGTTGGAAATGTTTTATAGAAATAAATATTACTTACTTAATTACAGAGAAGGAAAAATGGAGAAATTAGCAAATCAATATATCCATGGATTATTTATTATTCACTTCTCAGTTGTTATAGCTGTTAAAGTTTAGATTTGTTTTGAATTTGCCGCTTAATCACCTGCTAGAAAGTGTGAAAATGTGTAGATTACAGAATGACGCCATGAAATGTAGTGAGGAGAAAGAGCAGATATTTTTCAGTTTACTGTAGGCCAGTATTTATAAGGCTACATGACAACTACAACAGCTTTTTACAACAACTGATATAAACCTACATAAACATTCATAAACACTTACATGTATCATTTATCATAAAGGTTGTATTTACTAACTGATGTCATGTTTTAAACATCCATCTCATGTGAATAATTAATTAATTAATTAATCATATATATATATATATATATATATATTTTTTTTTTTTACATTAGGTTGCCATGACACTTTCTGGGGTAAAATGACACAGACATTGTATATCTGTATATATCACAGTACACACACACACACACACACACACATACACATCTAAACCGCTTATCCTTCTGGGTCGGGGGGGTGGGGGTGGGGGGGTTGGAGCCTATTCCAGCTGTCATTGGGCAGATGGCTATATCACAGTAACATAATTAAAATATGACATGACTTGCCAAAGCAGGCTGTTTGAACAAAAGTGAGCATTTTCTGAGGCCCTTAGATAAACTGAGTTTGTTTTTACCATTTATAAGATTTAGGCTGCTGCATCATCAGCATTATGTGACTGTGATATACGTTACGTTACAAAGTCAGCTGTTAGAACATGTTATGTCATTTCACGCAAAAAGCGTCATGGCAACCCAATGTTGGAAACAAATGAGGTCACCTGACATAGATGTTATGTCATCTTGACATCAAAGTGGACCAAAGCAGCCTTTTTGAAAGATAATGTCTATTGGAATAAATATTTTATCCCAATAGGCAATATTCTCCATTTTGGTTGTTAAGCAAAGCAACAAAAATGGAGATACAAGTTTTCGTTCCGACAGCAGCATCATGTAGATGTTTTGGCCTTATGAACAATACAGAAAAGTGTTACCAATTCTTTTTTTTTTTTCTGTAGTCTGTAGAATAAAAACACAAAATACTAAAAATGGCTACTTTAGTCACCTGCGATTCATGCCAGTTAAAGCAAGTGGTCCTGAAAAGCTCAGCCACAGTTTTGAAGTGTTGTAGCTGAGTGAGGTTGAGTGATGTAGTGGCAGTCGTGGCATGTTCCTCTCCTCCTGCACAGCAGCGCTGCCAGATCTCCTCCACAGTGCTTTCAATGTTGGATTTTGTCTGGCAGACAAAGGATGAGTTCATAAGTATGGATACTAATATTACTATCCTGCTTCTGCTCCAGTGCTGTTATAATAATAATAATAATATTAATAATAATAAACGTGATAATGAGTATGATGATGATGATAGTACTTCAAGCAATACTAATTTCTGTGGTCACATGATGCGCATTACAAACAAATCAGTTTCGTCATATACAACTTATTAAAAAAGCAAGAATTTAACAAATCTACTGACATTTTGAAATTATGCCAAATTACTTACAAACACAAAATGTAATGCCTGACCTTTTGAAGATCATCATATTTTTTCTTGAGAGCATCTTTTTTCACAGGATCAGCTTCTCTCTCAATCTGGTGCTCCAGGATTCTGAATGGTGCCTCATAGAAGGAGACCAGATCTGTTGGGTTTAGGACTTTCTTGGTCTCCCTAGCAGATGTGGGGGTATTTTTCAAAAACTTACTGACTGTTAGCATGCTAACTTCCTAAAGTCAAACAGAAAAAAATTAGACAAGATTACAAAACTAAAAGAAAATAACTGACAGGTAAGTATAGCCATATTGTCCTATACATACAATTTATTAGTCTTTCATTTATTTATTTAGGCAGAGCTCTAAAGTGACTTCATGACAACTAGCAAAAATGCAAACTGACATTGCTATACAGTTTCTGTGAGTAAAGCAACCATTTGCTATATATTGCTGTTTTAGGTATTTTATTACATTATTATACATGCTGTAGAGGTGAGTTTGAGAATATGTTTAAATATCTTTTAGACTTCATCATCGAGGGCTGTTGACAGTAGGCTTAGGTAGCCTATTCGCAGGACACATACCTTGTCACCATACTCGCATGGGACTGACTTTATCATTTGGCCTTGCAAATTTCTGAATTCATCCTGGAACGTGATCTTATCGAGGTCAGACTGCAACAAATGAAACAGTTACATCAAAAACATTCAAATACACAACAGTTAGGAGCTATAAAAAATATTGCACTTTTTTCAAATTTCGAATTATTCCAAATAAACATATACATCATCTAGAACTGGTGCCCACAAGTGTGGTTCATCAATTTATCAGTCATTGCTTATCTTACTGTTTTACCGTCAGCCCTAGTTGTTACAATATGTTTTGAGGAAAAGGTTGGCCTAAAACAAGTGGGTCCCATCAGGATTGTGTTCAATAGCTCATTTAGCTAAGTTACTGTGCATGAAAAATCAGAGCAATTTTTCTTCCCTAACGTGACACATTTCTGAGTCACATGTCAGGGAGGGTCTCTGTGCTAGCTGGGTGTTTCACTCTATGATAGGTGTGGGTGGTGGGAAGGGGAGGTGAAACTGTCTCTGGGGGGGAAAACAAGAATTTTGTCATTTAAATGGTGTCATATGATGAGTCATACTTAAGTTGGCCAGGCACATGAATTAACAAGGTAAAAAGGTCAATTCAAGATTTCATCTCGACTTTAAGCTCCTTCTACTCACTTTTCATGTTTTGTTGTTAGCAAGCAACATCTACTGTGCATAAAATGATAATTGTGAAATTGCTTGTGCTGTAATAGACTACTTTATAAAAAATAATGTTTCACCAGTTGGACAGTGCTATTACAGTTTGATGGATATGAGAGAAAGTCAGTGAAAGACACTAGATTATACAAGCATAGAATTACAGACCACTTCGGTGTAAGACATCCAAACGGCTGACATCTCTGCAGCGAGAAAGGTCTGCCTCTCCTCGTCAAAAAAGCAAAAATATGCTACAGTATCAGGAGGACATGCTGTAACTCCATAGACTGAAACATATCAGAATAGTTTCATGTCAGATTAAATGGATACTGGAACTACCTTCACACAGTTACAGATCTGTGTTTGATGTTTAAAGACAGGACATTACCTAAGATCCCAACTTAACTTACTGCTGATATTTTCAGGGAGTTTCTCCAGCATTGATCCAGAGTAACAGCACTCCATAAATATCACCATCTGCAGGAAATAAAAAAAACAACATTTAATGGTTTGGTTTAATAAAGATTTATGCATGTATAATGTTCCATGCATGCAGACATGCACACATACATATATACATACATCATGTAATGAAAAATGCCCCTGTAGTATCCAGGCTGCACATCATTATTAGAAGTATATTTGTTGATAATTGCAGCAATGAATTGAGATCTGACGTTGAGGTCATATTGCTAATACTTTGTAGAATCTGAGCCACTTTTCTTCATTGTTACAAACGGTGAAATATGCATTTAAAATGTATTCATAAGGTTCAGTAATTAAAATAATGGAATAATCTTTTTATATCATTATCATTTTTTATGGTTATTATAAATACTTTAGTAATCAATATGAACTAGATTAAGAAAAAAACCTTTTAAAGAAAAAAATATCATATGCTTACCTTTGCAAATTGTTTATTTTTAGCCATAGTTTGGAGCTCCTCAATAAGATCAACTGCATAAAGCTATGATGAAAATGAATGTATATTACTATATTAATACAATTATTACAACACGATTTTATTAACCTACAAGATTGGTGGTCACACAGTTGCTTGTACTGATTGTTTAGTAATGAACTAACAGAGATTCAGTAAATAAAGGTTTGGGCAACATTTGTGCCCAACATTTCTATTATCTATCCATCTATCTATCCATCTACATATCTATCATAGATAATAGAAGCAGCTTTAAAGGATAAAGTGTGAAACATACTGAGGATGAAGGAAAGCAAAACAGGCCAGGAGCTCCGTGGTCTGACAGGAAGACAAAGATTGTGTCATTCTTGCCACTGCAAAAAAAAACAAACAAAAAAAAACAAACATTTGAAGGGTTTGGTTCAAAAATGCATAGATAACTTTTTTCATGATCTGTGCTGTTGTGAGTGGGCTATACATATACAAGAAATAACAATGCTATATTATGATTATTACCTAAAATGTATTTTCCAATGTATGTCAAAGTTCTCATTTTATCCAAAGTTGTTAAACATAAATATGCAGCATTTAGGAATGAAACGCTTCATTTCCAAGCTCTACTTTCAGATTCCCATCTCAGTGTGTATCTCAGTCTAGTGAGGTGGTTTCTAACCCTCATCCTGGAGAGTTGCCTTCCTGCAGGGTTTAGTTCCAACCTGCATTTAACATGCTGCCCCTCCCTTACCTAGTACTAATACATCTCATCCAACCGGTCAGGATCTTCTGAAGAAGTTAAATAGCTAGAGCAGGTTGGAACTAGACACTGCAGGAAGGTAGCTCTCCAGGACCAGGGTTGGAGACCACTGGTCTAGTGCTATTTGCTTGTCCAATGCTAGCTATATCTATCTGGATGAAGTCATCAAGTTATGATGAATACTGGCCTTGTCTTGTTTGTGCTGTTTTAAGTGACACTTCATTATGTGACTTTTTAAAGCTACATAATGTCTTTACAGATTATGAGTCAGTGTCTGAAATACAGGTTTATCAGTCACAACTGGAAGATTTTTTATTTATTTTTTTATGCCAAAGGGATCCGTAGCACAAAATATTAAATGGTGCCACCAACCTGTCTTTAATGAGTCAAAGTTTACAGATAGAGAAGAAATGGAAACTTAATGTAGAGTTAAAATCAGTGCACAATGCCAGAAACTGTTTACACCTCCTAAACCCAGGAACAGCCAGGCCTGCATTGCAGCACACATGTGACTTTGATAGTTATCACCCCACATGATAAAGCATCAGATGTTTACTTTATGTCCTCATGCTTTTGCAGTTCCTCTTAGCATTTGTCATTGTTTCCTGTTATGTGTATGTTGGTGGAGGCAGCAGCTTTGCAGCCAACAGGTTGCATGTTAAGCTTTCAGACTTAGCATTGGCTCCTGTTTATCACTTCCTGAAAATGTTTAGTTAGAGTAATTCACCCTCCAAAAGCAGCAAAATGTTTTCTAATAATGAATGGAAACTGAAAAGGTTTAGTTATCATTATGATCATTATGTAAACAAGATGGAGATTGTTCTAAATATCTCACATATCAATCAATGATTCACATTCAAAAGGTTAAAACTAACCTTTTGATGACTTTTTTGGGTCCAGTCTTAGTCACGGCGCTCTCATCCCCCCGCAGTGCAGCCAGGAAGTTTTCAGGTGTCACATCCTGTAAGAACAGATCTCAGAATGAAGCACATGTATGTGGGGAAGCAATATAAATGTGTATTGTAAGAACATTACGTCTCCAGTGTAGTCTTTCAAGACTCCAGGGTAAACATTTGGTCCATTTGGTTGATTGATAATGTTTCCTTTGTAAGGGTTCCTGTTTAGAGAAGAAGAAGAGCATTCCAAATGTTTTATTGGAAATTTACTTGCATTCAGGGTAAGCCATTGATGGAATAAAATGACACTCACAGCTCATTGTAAGCAATATCATCATACATCATAACCACAGTCTGTTCATCTGGGATTCCATTCTCATGAACTATTTGATATGCATGGCAGATATTAGCCTAAAACAAATGAAAGAAGCATGATACAACTGTTTAGCAGTCATTCTAACCTATTTTTGTAGATTGTTGCTAACAAGAATGCCATTGCATAACTTAATACCATCTCCACCTTTATTTGGCACATATGCATATGAAGCTTTAGCTTATAGTTTACTGTCATGGAAATGACTGAATAAACTGGAAAATACAGGTTGAATAGTTTAAATCAACTTACAAGTGTGTGAAGTACTGAAGACAAGAGTTGTTGTTAAAATACAATCACAGATTGTAGCAATACATATATAGTTTAATCATTTTCCATCCATGCACTTTCTAATAATTGTAAATGAGGGCCTGTATGCAAAACTGATATTACAACAATGTACTTGCTCTCAATGTTGCAGCATTCATTTAAAAACAGTGCAAATACAACATTATAAATGTATTTACAATAACTACAAACACCATAGTGTTCATATTAATCATGGGCAGCTGATTTGTTCCCACTGACAAACAACAATCAAACTATCATGAATATGATTATTATTTCATGTCTTTTAGCACATCTATCTAAGGATTCACATACTGCAGCTTAAATGGAATCAATAAGATAAAAGTTATTAAAAAGAGAAAGAAAGGAAGAAAGAAAGAAAGAAAGAAAGAAAGAAAGAAATAAAGAAAAAAGTCAGTCAGTAAGTCAGTCAGTCAGTCAGTAAGTAAGTAATTAAGTCCGTACGTAAGTACTTAAAGTACAGAAGGTGTCTCTTTAATGTACCTGCAAGCCATAATTATCCCAGTCCTTCGCCCCAGCCACAAGAATGGCCCACTGTTTACCAACGGCCACAGACATTCCTCTTACAAAAGATTTTCTTTGCTTTTAACAGAGTAGTAGACAGAATTGTGAAACGTAGGTTTGTGCAGTGAAAATCTATACCTTTATTCATTACTCATTAAAGTGCACTCAAGTGATCATGCATGGTTCATTTACAAAATCAGGTGCAGTCTTACCTTAAACTGTTGTCTGTTTCAAGTCTGTATGTCCGAATGTCTTTGCCAAGTTTGTGTAGCTCAGTTTTTTTTTATTTCCTGGCAGTAAAACTGGGCTGGTTTGCCAGGAATTCTATGCCTGTCATTTCCTTATTCCTGCACATTTACAAAGTGAAAGTGGCCTGTTGTCTTCTTTTAGTTTGAGCTATTTAAAACCGATATGAGTTTTTAAGTAATTGCAGTGTTTGGCACTTTGGATGTGTGCTCATTCCTGATCACACCCATCTGATCATCTCTTCTGCAGTTGGAGGCACCAGGGGTTTTCCGAGTTTTGCTTCACAGCAAAATCCCCAGAGTTGAATTAACACCTGCACTGTTGAATCAACATGTACAGAGTTCATTTAAGTCGAAAAGTAGAAGAACAATTAAGCAATGGTTTTGTAATCTGTAAGAAAACATTAACACAGAGCATTTAATTCTTAAAACATTTACTCACATGGAAGAACTGCATAATCAGATATCATCAGATAATGAGGTAGGATGATGATTAAAAAGTGGGGTGGACTGTATGTGCGTAACTCTGCAACTGAACATTTTCTATCCCGTGGAGTGTAGAGATTAGAGCTCTAACACACCTGCCTGGTGGAGGGATGTGCCTACTATCCCTCCTTTATGATCAAATCCAATTCCGATTACTTTATAGTCACATTGGAAAAGTGATGTTTTGAATGATTTTTATTAGCCTTTTTTAAGTTGGAGCTCCCATTGTGTGTTAGCCAAAGTCATGACAAATAACGTCATTTCTTAAACTAAAAGCAAGAAAAAACTTGCCTATTTAAATAACTTCAATCAAATCAAATGCTACATCTACAGTTGAAGACAGCTGGCTAACTAATTGGTCATGCATTTTGTTTTAGGCATCAGCAGTGAAATACAGTGTGGCTGCACTTGCTTGGAGAATGTTACTTATGTCATAAAGCTGATACACAGCTCAAAAAAATAATAATAATAACGATAAATTGGCTGATTGCCGATAGTACATTTGAAGCAAAAATCAATTCTGATGTTGGCCAATCCTGACCGAGCCTCTTTAGTCTTGTGTTTGTTTTCAAGAAAGCACATCAGCACATTAAGGGTACACTGTGCAAGTTTTGGGGATTTGGAGGCTTTTCTTGTGGAAATGTGTACCTGCACACAAAGTACGGAAGAACATTTTATAATGGTTGTGCTTTTGGACCCCCATGAGCGGATGAATCTGATGATTGCGAGCATGTTGAAAGAGTATTCAAGGAGTGAAGGATGTGTCTTCCAAAAGTCACACTATTGTAATCATATCAGTATGATGTTGATTTTGTATTTGAGACCTAAATATCGAGCCAAGCCTGCTTTCTGAGTCTGTGCTTGTGATGTTAATACGTAATTATGTAATACATAAAAATGTATGACATGGTCTGAAAAACTCCTCCAAAATCCAGCCAAATGCCCCTGACTTAAATTATTATTTCAGGCTTTAGAGGGCAAGTCGTAGCAGTGTACGGCATCCATATTTCATATATTTCTTTTTTTCCTGACCAAGTAGTGCTACTTCTTTCAGTTTTAACCAAAATACCTTACATAGTGCAACTTTAACAGAAAAAAAAGATCTCCATTGGAATGTAAATGCTTTAAGATACTACAAACCAAGTGTTCGCACAGGTTCAGCATTATTTTTACAGCAACCATTGCTTTTGGCATATACAGTTATGCTTTGATTCCTTAAAGTTAAAAGCTATACTGACATTGTGACCATAATGTTAGTAATGTTTATAATTTTAGAATAATTTACAATAATTAGAAACTACCTTGTAGTTCCACCTGTGCAAGTTTACATTTAGAGACTGTTAATGCACACTTTACGTTGGCTGTCCTCCAGCCCAGGGGTGCACAGTCCCGGTCCTGGTGATCTAACGCCCTGCAGAATTTAACACACCAAGAAATAAGGGCATCCGGGGCTTCTGAATATTGGAGCCAGGTGTGCTGGATCTGAAATCCTCAGGGTGGTAGATCTATAGGACCACTGCTCTAGCCGTTCATCACACAGAGCCTTTCTTAGCAGGATTGTTTTGGATGGTGGACCACTTTAAACCTAGCAGTCAATGAAAGTGCTATACAGTGACGAGGTAGAAGGTGGCTGATAACTGGTGCACAATACCAGTTGGGCTACAATCTGTAACTGTACACCTATAGCGTAGGTATAAGGGGGAGCTCCTAAAGTGACCAGAGAATTGAAGTCCAAGGTACTGTAGGTGTTACTAGTAAGGTGGATTCTAAGTATGTGGCTGAATTTTCTAAAAAACTTAAGTAAATAATATAATAAATAACAAATAATTCGCTGGAAAGACTCAGTAATGTTCATTAAGTCATTTTGTATATATAATTTTCCCCAAGTTTCCAAGTGTACCTTTAGCATTTACAAAGGAAAAGTTGCTGTTACAGAAGAAAGGGATACTGTTTCTGTGAGACGCCTCTTTATGAGTGAAAATGAGAGTGGAAGGTGCTCAAAAAGGTCCTACCCTCCATAACTGCAACAGTTACAAAGACACAGGTAAGAAAACCTTAACAGTGCTGTAGCTGTTTGCACAATGTTTTACTGATACTGTATTTTATGATGCAATTTTGTCATGTTGGTCATTTGACAGTCATTCATGGGTCATTATAGTTTCACTCTTGCACAATTAGGGGTAGGTAAGAGGACTTGTGGGAGGCTCTGTGGTAAACATAGAGTCTTCCCGTTTTTAAAGTGCTTATGTGGAAAAAGAAGTGTCTGATGCGTATTGCACAACTGTTAAATTACGTATGTTTCCAGTCTCAAACTCTCTTGTTTTTTCCTCAGGAGTTCACTGTGTTTTCAGTGTTAGACACAGAGACACAGACACAATTACTGTATGCAGCAGCACATCTTTCATTTTCAACAAATTAGTCCCAGTAAATAATTAATAAAATAAAATAATAATAATATAATGTATATGTATTGTAATTATTTCAGTACACACATTAGAGATATTAATCACAAATGAGAATTGGCATCTCATGTTAGAAAAATACTTTAATGAATCTGTTTGGCTGAATAATGCACTTTTTTGAAAATTGTACACCAGAGGAGGGTTGTAAATACTTACATTTATTCGTTCACATGTATGCTTGAGTATTAGAAATTCATAATTCTCTAACTTTTATTCAAGTATTATTGTGAAAGGTTATCTACTTTTTACTCTGTAATATTTTAGTCATGAACATTTAGATACTAATTGTTTTTTTGTGTTTTATTTCATTGTTATGCTGCCGAAAGCTCATATACTCCTTTGCAGCCTCTGATTCTGGAGGTTTAGCAATTCATTTAGACCCATGGTACATAAACTAGAAGAAGTGTCTAAAAGTTCCTACACTGATAGGATGTTCCACTGTGTTCCACTGTATTCCAGTGTAGTTACTAAAGTACTTTTTTGAGCTTTTAGCATGTATTTTTACTTGAGTAATTATTTCACTGCAGTAACAGTACTTTGACTTGAGTCTAGCCCCATCTGGTGGACATTACAGGCTCAGAAGAACTATGATGAAGAATTTGAGAGGGTTACAGTTATTTTTTTTTCTAACTTAATGTCTCTGTATTTGCATCTGGCTCCACCAGAGGGAGCTCAAGTGACTTGTGCTCAACCAACACATCAGCTTCATGAATAGTGTTCCTTAAAATGTTAGGCTAAATTATATTACAAAAGACTAGTTTCTTACTATTTTGACATTTTATTATTATCCTTGGTAGCCTCTAAGATGAGTGGGAGAAAAGGCAAGCAGTGGGTTCTGCTGGCTGCTGGTTCCAAAGGCTGGACAAATTACAGACATCAGGTAGTACTGTATCAGGATTACTACAGTATGTTGTTTATTAATTTAATCCATTTAAAATAAACTAAAGGTCTCATACAATCATAATCATACATTCCCCTCCAAATTACAAGCACATAAGAAAGAGATTCAGTTTTTCTCCATGAAGTTGGCAAACATGAGAAACACTCCATCGTAATAAATCCCATGGTGTTCATAAATATTACTGTCCACTAATCCACCCTACCTCTTCATATATTCTGAAATGGTTCCTTTTAAAATGATACTCGGGTTCAGTATGATCAAATGAGTGAATCATGCAATGTTGAGTCTACTGAGGAAAAAGGGCAGTATTTTTTCTTTAAATGTAAACCTTACAATTGCACAAATCACTGATAGGTGGTTTAAATGTCTGTGCTGGGCCTTTAACACAAATATAGTGTAAATGACATTCTTTCTTATCTATCCATTAGGCCAATGTCTGCCATGCTTATCAAATGGTTCATTGCAATGGTATTCCAGATGAGCAGGTTGTGGTGATGATGTATGATGATATAGCTTACCATAAAGAGTGAGTATATGGTTTTATGTACATTTTCTATGCGTTTTATTATAAAAGAGTTTGTAAGCACATATAGAAGTGGTTATAGATAATGGTTGGAAATAAGCATTTCTTCTAAACTCAAATGAAATTAGTAGAGTTTTTCTCTTTCAACAGAAACCCATATCCAGGAGAAATCATCAATGAGCCTAACGGCCCAAATGTTTACCCAGGAGTTCTGAAGGACTACACTGGAGATGTATGTGCTCTTTCAATCTGCCTCTATTCCATTAATTACATCCTGAACACTACCTCATTGTACTGCCTTCTTTCTCTGATGCAAGTCTTTAGCTCATTACCAAGCTCTTCATGAGCCGGAAACAGTACTATTAGGATGAATTTGATTGATCAAGACTGCCATTGAGAATCTGTGGTATGAGCATATTCTGTACGTGTTCCAATGACAACATACTTTTATATGAACTACTTTAATTAAAGAAAATCTTATGGAAGTTATTAAATAACTAAGTGAGAAAGCTGATCTATCCATAATTACATAAGTACATATGTTATCTTTACAGGATGTATCAGCTGGGAACTTTCTGGCTGTGCTCCGTGGAGATGAAGCTGGTGTTAGCAAACAGGCAGGGCAGCCAGTAAAGGTCTTAAAAAGGTTGTTTTCTTTTGCTTTACAAAATTATTCATCATTTTGGAAATAAACAATACAAAAATGTCGAACAAAAGTAAAACAAAGGCAATTACAACTGTCCCAATTTCTGCCTTAACAGTGATGAAAATGCCACAATTTTCGTCTACCTGTCAGACCACGGGTGTGCAGGAGTGTTTGCCTTTCCCAAGGAATTTGTAAGCTGTGTTTTCTTAGTTTCTGCACTTGACTCATTTAGTAAAGATCAGCATCAAACATGCTTTATCACATTTCAGCTTCATGCATCTGACCTTGTCAGCACAATAAACAAGATGGCAGAACGTCAGCAGTTCTCAAAGGTCAGTAATTAACTAACACAACATACTTCACGCTTTTGCTTTTTAAGAATTTGACCCTAATATTTACTCTCTTATACTACTTTTCAGATGGTGATTTACATAGAGAGCTGTTGCTCTGGATCGATGATTGATCATGTCCCAAAAAATGCTCAGGGTATGTTTTATCAGGGTGTAACTACTAAGAGTGAACAATTTTAATACAGAAAAATTTGAGCAATCTTTAACAGTGTATCATAATTAAAAACTGCATCACTGATATGCCCTTGACCCTCTTCTCATTTACTATCCTCCATGAAGAACAAGAAATGTTGAAAAAAACTGAAAAACTTAGTTGAATAAAGAACCTTTCAGTGGAAAGTTCTTTAGAGAACCAGTTTTGTTAATCATATACCTTTTAAAGACTTTCCTTAAACCATATGTCCAAGCTGGGAACTATTTACAAAGAACCTTTATTTTTAAGAGTGTAGTCTCCACATTTTGAAAGGTCCATTAAGGGACCTATATCATGGAAAATCTTGTTTGCTTTTCCTTGCATTTTTTAAATAAAAGAGTTTGATGTAGTATGTAAACAGTGTTATAAAATAAGTTTTAAAATGTACCACTTATTCCTCAGTCCATACAGTCAATATTTTGGGACTAAGCTGCAAAAACAGCCTGTTTTGAATTTGCTTTTTTTGTAGCATTGTAAAAACCAATGCATTTATTAATCTCCTCTTTATTCAGCCTATAGCAGTTTAGCTCCATCTATGCATGCCGAAGTTATAAGGGATGTTTTAAGCCCAGACCAATTTTGTAAATGAGGCACAATGCAGGCAGCCAATCAGAATAGAGTTCATATATCATATAAATGATATATGTTCATATATATGTTCATATATCAGTCTTAAAGGCGCAGTAACAAAAACAGCCTGTTTAATTATAAGAGATAATAGAACTAAAAATAAACTAAAGGCTGTTTTTCATACTTATACCCATACAAATACTATATGTAGACCTCAGAGGAAAGAATATGAGAAAAATATAAGAAATGGGCCCTTTAAAGGTTATTTGGCGAAGACAGTGAGACGGTGATGCTGCAGGTTTTGAACAGCTCCTCTTTGGTTTATTTTGGGGGGGTTCTGGATTTGTGCAAGACTATTTTGTGCAAGGACACAGTACTTTGCATCATTTTATATTGAAGTGTATGTTTTCTAAGCTAAACCAGTAAGTGAAGCGTGTAATTAGATTTCTGTAGAATCAAGACATTTATTACCACATAAAATATTGAAATATTGAATTGAAATCTTGACATTAGAGCTGAACATTTTATCTTTACATTTATAGTAACTACTCTGAATATTTATTATTTTTTTCAAAGGAGGGTGATATTTGTATATGGTTGCTGTCCAAAGAAAACCATGTATTTACATTTTTGTTGATTTTTATTTTTCTACATCATTTCAACACACCAGCTGTCCTTTACGTGGTTTGTCATGATGAATGAACCAATAGAAATGCTCTAAAATCACTTGGAATAAAATCTCTTTACATTAACTTACATTGAAAGGTAGGGGTGTTTTTGCCTTCTCCTGTAGTTACTATTTTGGACACTTGTTTTTCTTTGGACAGCGACAATAAATGACTTACCTAAACAATGATGGTATGAAGAAATAATTAAATACTTAAGCAACGTTGGAAATTCAGTCATTACTCAGCTGATGTGCTGCTGGTGGGTCACAGAGGAAGATTCAAGCTTGTTCTTTTGTTCCTGTGTTCTAGTTTACGGGGTGTCTGCCTCCACTCCCTCTGAGTCTCACTGTGCCTGTTTCTATGATGAAGAGAGGCTCACATTTCTTGCTGGTGAATTCACTTCATGTTGGCTGTTACACAGTGACCTGGTCAGTTATCTTTTTGCTTGACCCTCACAAAATTAAATTATTCTCTTAAACAGTAAATCATGGAAGGGCTGTTTATGTAAATCACTGTATGTTTTAAACGGTCTTACAACATGTCCATTCCCTCTTCAAACAGTCTGATCTTACTAGGACAACCTTCCAGGATCAGTTTGTGTATCTGCAAAAGAAGATCACCCAGTCTACTCCTTGTCAGTATGGCAACAATGTATGTACACATTTGCTATGAAATGCTATCAGCTCCAATTCTCTGTTTGTGTGGCTGACTACTCTCTTCTCAGTTTGATTTGAGCATTTTTCTTAGAGCAGACTTACTGAAGTGTTAATCTCATCTCAAAAATTGATTTAGCTGAACTGCCTTAACCCCCTAAAGGTTAGGCTAAGTGTTCTTAAAAATTAAGCTTCATATGCAGCTATATGCCCCGATCATGTTTTGTTGATTCTCTAAGTGAAAATAAGTTAACACATCCTCTACTGATGCCGCACTCCTGCACATTTTAATACACAATTACTGTTTGATTGCTGAATTTAACATATTGGGTGTTCAAATGTTTGCATAAGACTGTGTGTCAGTTTAGTTTATGAGAGAGTTTAAGGTGTTAATACAAAGAAATATAAAAACTTTACAAACTAACACCTCTAAAAGCAAAGCATAGTTTTGTTTCATTTTTTCTACACTTTTCTCCAGGAGCTTAGCAAACTCTTCCTCAGCGACTTTTTGGGCTGTTCTGACTCCAGAACTCAGGCAGAGCATGCAAGTCGAGCAGAAAATTTCAAACTAACACATCTCACCCCATCACATGAAGTCCCACTGATAATTCAACAGAAGAGAATTCAGAGAGAAATGGACCCAGAGAAAAAGAGAGCTCTGCAGAGAGAGTACGACAAGCTTCTGCAGGTAACTGATAAACACAGACCTCACTGAACCAACGTACTAGTCTTTTTGGTTTCTTTTACCATTCTGAACAACAGGTCCTGCTCATTTTCACCAGGAAGCTCAGAAAGGTTGTCTGACCAGAACACATTTGTCCAGTGTACAATCTGCAGAAACAAATATACATGATTTTCATATATAGATTTTTCTTGTTTTTTGCACTTACAATGTTTGTGTGGGTTTATGACCCAAAAACAGTCATACTTCATTTTCTTTGGACATTTCTCGACTTCTCTTTATCTCTTGAGCTGTGTTTACATGTTGGTGGCAGGTGGTCAGCAACACACCAAATGTTCGATTTGTTTTCAAAGGAGCAATGATGGAAAATTCTGCCACCAGCAGCAGCAACAGCAGCATATCATTGTGGTTAGCGGAACATTCCATCAGGAATTTAATTTTCCCAGCTATTGCTGTTAACTAGTATAGTGGAATAAATCAGATGACTTTTTTGGGAGCAATGAATGCTGAATGTCTGATTGTTGAAGTCCAGGCAAACCCAGTATTATACAATGAACAAAAAAAGAGTGTAGAGCATTCTTCTGCCATTTTCCACCTTTGACCCCCTGTTTATTCATATTAAGGATTTTCTCCTATATTATTTAGATTTTGTGATGTGTTTATTATGAAAAAATTGTTTCCCCACAGAAGACCCTTACAGGCTTGACACACTATGAGGCACACAAAAGATTTCTACAGTGTCCACAAATATAACCATGTCAACTCAAAATGGGAACTTTTGTGACCTCCAGTACAGAAGCACGGTCCAGCACTTAGCTAGCTAGCTATAGTTTACTGATATAATGTTAGTGCTGAACGTTCAAATAGCGGACATATGTGTGATCTACCTGTCGTAAGATGAAACACTGATGAAACAGATAATGAAAGATGAAACATTAGCTGCAAAATGTAGGTAGATATCTAGAACCTGAGAAAAGTGAAGTGGTCTATTTTCAGCCCTACATGTTCTTCAGAATCAAACATGTAGTTCTAAAAAGACACTGATCCTGCCTGCTGCATGTGCCATCTCTAGCAATATTAGCACTGCCGCTCACCACTGCCACTGGCGCCGGGTTGTTTGCCTGGGCCGTGAGATGCTACTGTCAATCATTATGTGATCTGACATGCCCACTCAATTTTTAGCAGGCAGCAGGTCGGAATTTTTTGGAGTATTTATCTAGGCAAGGAAAGGCAAGTGTATTTATATAGTACCTTTCATACATTGGGCTCATTCAAAGTGCCTTAGAAATGAGAAAATACAAAGATAGATCGAATTTAAATTTAAATACAAAAAGTAAATGTGACGGTGCGACAGAATTCAGACGCTCGCGGATGAAAAATGCAAACAGGGTTTTATTAACGTGCGACAAAGGTGTGGTCAAAAAACAATCGTGGGTCGTAACCAAAAAGCACCAAAGTATCACCGAAGTGATCATAACAATAGGCAGCCAAAACCAAGGGAGTGAGCAGAAATCGTCGTCGAAAAAGCAAGCAAAAAGTCAAAAACACAGATCCAAAACCAGCCAGCAAAGGTACAAAAAGGGACAAGCAAAAATAAGGCCAGTTAAACAAAGAGTGGGTCATAACAGGCGGTAACAAACAGATCAGAAAACGCTCAGTATGTTCCGTGAGAAGCAATACCTCGCAAAGACTAAGGGCGTTTTCACACTTGGGCCGTTTCAGCGTCTGAAGTGGACTCAGACCGCTGAGTCATGGTTTCTTTTGCATATGTGAACACGCCAAACGAACTCAGACCCCCCTAAACGAACCGAACTGAGAGGTGGTCTCAGTTCGGTTCGTTTGTAGTTCGATTAATTTGTACATTGTGAAAACAAAACGGCCCCAGTCCGCTTTAGCTTGCTTTATGGTGAAGACCTCGATACTCGCCATACACACAGCCACAGTCTTCACTTCAGCAGGTAAACAGACCAAGGATCATTTATACGGTTCTACTCAGGATAAAGTCTGTCCGTGATCTGAGACAGACAGCAGCGCTGACTTATTAAAGCGACCAGATGCGAGAGCTCGCGTGATTATACCGTGTTAAAGGCTCGAGCTGGGCACGCAACGCAATTCTCAGCGGCCCACTTGGCAAGCGCTGTGCACACCATGAGTGCTGTGAAAGGGGTCCGAGTTCTAATGGAGTTGTGGTCTGAGATCTCAATGGACCAGAAAGAAGACTGAGTCCTCTTTATAGTTCACTCACAGTGTTTTCACATATAGTTCGTTTTAAAAGAACCGAACCGAGTTCTGTTAAAGTGAACCTGGAAGGGAACCAACTGCAAGTGACTTCAGTTCTTTTTGTGTTCATAATGTAAGCGAACTCTAAAGAGGACTCAGTTTTCTTTCTGGTCCATTGAGATCTCAGACCACTTCTTGTTCAGACCACGACTCCATTAGAACTCGGACCCCTTTCACAGCACTCACGGTGTGCACAGCGCTCGCCAAGTGGGCCGCGTTCTCTGATAAATCCGAGCTATCAGGTGACGAGAAGAACCACCAGACCCGCCCGCGGCTCTCCTATTGGCCGCGCTGAAACGATTGGCCGAAGTCCATTGCGCAAAATTGGAAACACGGCCCTGCGGGTCTGCCGCGGTGGGCTCCGTGTTCGGCTGAATTTTCATTCATTCAGCGTTCAGAGTGAAAGCAGCTGAGAACTGCGCTGCGTGCCCAGCTCGAGCCTTCAACACGGTATAATCACGCGGGCTCTCGCATCTGATCGCTTTAATAAGTCAGCGCTGCTGTCTGTCGTAGATCACAGACAGACTGTATCCTGAGTAGAACCGTATAAATGATCGTTTGTCTGTTTACCTGCTGAAGTGAAGACTGTGGCTGTGTGTACGGCGAGCATCGAGGTCTTCACCATAAAGCAGAGCTAAAGCGGACTGGGGCCGTTTTGTTTTCACAATGCACAAATTAATCGAACCACAAAACGAACCGAACTGAGACCACCTCGAGAGGTGGTCTCAGTTCGGTTCGTTTTTGGGGCCGTTTAGGGGGGTCTGAGTTCGTTTGGCGTGTTCACATATGCAAAAGAAACCATGACTCAGCGGTCTGAGTCCACTTCAGACGCTGAAACGGGGCAAGTGTGAAAACGCCCTAAGTGAACTCTAAAGAGGACTCAGTTTTCTTTCTGGTCCATTGAGATCTCAGACCACTTCTCGTTCAGACCACAACTCCATTAGAACTCGGACCCCTTTCACAGCACTCACGGTGTGCACAGCGCTCGCCACGTGGGCCGCATTCTCGGATAAATCCGAGCTATCAGGTGGCGAGAAGAACCACCAGACCTGCCTGCTGCTCTCCTATTGGCCGCGCTGAAACGACTGGCCGAAGTCCATCGCGCAAAATTGGAAAAACGGCCCTGCCGCGGTGGGCTCCGTGTTCGGCTGTGCTCCTCACTGAAGCTCCACCCGGCGAATTTTCATTCATTCAGCGTTCAGAGTGAAAGCAGCTGAGAATTGCGTTGCATGCCCAGCTCGAGCCTTTAACACGGTATAATCACGCGAGCTCTCGCATCTGATCACTTTAATAAGTCAGCGCTGCTGTCTGTCTCAGACCACGGACAGACTTTATCCTGAGTAGAACCGTATAAATGATCCTTGGTCTGTTTTACCTGCTAAAGTGCTGAAGACTGTGGCTGTGTGTACGGCGAGCATCGAGGTCTTCACCATAAAGCACAGCTGAAGCGGACTGGGGCCGTTTTGTTTTCACAATGCACAATTTAATCGAACCACAAAACGAACTACAAACGAACCGAACTGAGACCACCTCTCAGTTCGGTTCGTTTAGGGGGGTCTGAGTTCGTTTGGCGTGTTCACATATGCAAAAGAAACCATGACTCAGCGGTCTGAGTCCACTTCAGACGCTGAAACGGCCCAAGTGTGAAAACACCCTTACATTGTGAACACAAAAAGAACTGAGGTCACGTGCAGTTGGTTCCCTTCCAGGTTCACTTTAACAGAACTCGGTTCGGTTCTTTTAAAACGAACTACATGTGAAAACACTGTAAGACTAAAGCCCGGGCTTATATACTAGGCTAAAAGAGTCATATGACGACAAACACAGGTCCACATTATTAATACTCAGGGGACTTTGAGCGCTGATAGGTGCGCGAACGACTGTCCAAAGTCATATGATCTCCCGAGGGATTGTGGGCAATGGAGTCCGTTCTGGACTCCGAGTCCGAGGGAAGTTGCTCATGCACGTAATTTCCCAACGCATTCTGGGAAATGCAGTCTGAATCCGCCCGAGGCGTGACAGTAACATAGAGTAAAGGAGAATAGAAATTAAAATATGATCAAAACAGTAGATTTTAATAAAATTAATAGAAATGAATAATAAAATTAAAAAATAAATTAGGGAAATAATCTTCTCTTAAGTTGTATTAATTCATGTATATGTCTTGTAACTGGTAAATACTTTTTCTGTGGTGTAACTTTCCTATTAAATTTCAACATTTGAAACAGTGTTAACAGGGGCTTTAGATAAACAATCTATGATGCTAAAGCTCACCTTTGATAATTATTCATTTTTCCCAGTGAAGCTGTTAAGATGCCAGCATGGGTTTATGAGGCACAGAATGCTGTTGTTTTCAACACCATCATATAAATACAGCATTAGATTTAAACAGGCTGGGTTTGTTACTTTTGTCACTGTTGTTTGCTCTTTTAAAGAAAACAATTAGGACTGAAAAGGCACTGCAGGACATTGCTAAGCATGCATGCCCTGATCGAGACCCCACAGCAGTAACGGACAGACGCCCACTGACTCGACTGGACGATATGAAAGATGTAGTAGAGCATTTCAGACGGACCTTCAGCGAGTGGTATGAGGAGCAGGTGAGCCGTGGCCTCAAAACCTGTGATACTACATTTACACACAAGTTTACATACCCCTGGTCAAATTACAAGTGTTGTTGATTTTCTAAATGACAGTAAGTTGACACATCCTCTACAGAGAGCTTAAACCTAAAAATGTAATTTTTCTGCAACTTTTACTGCAAAATTATAAAATGTGCCATATTTTTTGCTTAGGTCACATTTTATATTTTATTTTTTCCCAATATCTTAAATTCAGCAAAAAGACAGTACTTGTGTATGAAAATGTGCAGAAGTGTGTTCTGGAGAGGATGTGTTAACTTACTTTCACTTAAAAAATCAACAAAACATGTAGTTTTACCAGAGGCGCCAAAACTTTTAACAACATGACTGTACATGAATTGAGACTTGAGGATTAGGATTATTTGCGTCTCTTTCTCTCTCTCTCTCTCTCTCTCTCTCTCTCTCTCTCTCTCGATCTAGGATGATGCCTTTGTACTGTCACATTTGCATGTATTTGTGAACCTTCTGGAGTCTGGAGTGAGGGTTGCCAGGTCAGTCAAGAAACCTGACTTAAAAATGTATACAGCTGTTTTCAGCTCTAACTTGATAAAAGGGAGATGTGAGTTGCAGAAAGTACATCCTGAATGTCATGTGGACAGTCTCAGCTGATGTAATAAACATCTTAAATGTTGTATTTTGCAGGATTAAGGAGGCCACAACCTATATCCACTCTTTGCAAGGACTCCACTGAATGCATATGAACTCACAGTCCACCATCAGTTCAGTTCAACAATGAAGCTTCTGCTCTCCTGAACTCCTAATCAGTTCCTGCTTTGTTTTGCACTAACAAGCATCAATGACTGATGATGATGAGGATTGCATGTTGCAGAGTTTCGATGATATTAAAATGCAGCACATCATCCCAGTGTCAGATATCAGACATTTAGTAGCATCTAGTGGCAAATTTCTTTCACTGTATGGCAGCTTTCTGAGTGGATTCTCAAATCAAATAAACAAGCTAAGATCTGTACATGACTTGTTTTATTTAATACTATGTCTTAGACAGCCTTTGGGAAGTCCTAAGCTTGTGTTGGTTTTCTAGATTTTTGTCAGGCCTTCAGTTCAAACTGTGCAAGCATAATAGGCTTTTCTGGTGAAAATATTTTCAATTTCTATTCATCAATATTGAGTATCTTTATCAACTGTACCACCTCTGGAACTCATGGCACTGGTGTTACTATAGCCAGTCTGGTGACGTACACTCCAATATGTTGTAAAATAAACTTTAAGCATGGTTGGTTGAGGAAGACAACAGGAAAACACATCAATTCAAATTCACTAAGAAACCTGAAATGCAATTCTTCTCTTCAGGTTTTCTGTTTATTTTTTTTATTTGTTAGTTTTTTTTTTAAATATTTATAAAATTAAAATAAAAATGTATTTTGCCATTTTTCTCCCTAACGTACTCACGTCCTGTTTCACCTGCCATCTAGGACTCCCGTAATCAGTATACTCCCAATGCTGGGAGGGTCAAGACTACAATGTGCCACCACACCTTTTCAGGAAATATTATTATTATACTATTATTTATATTGTAATTGTATATAATATTGTTATTATATGAATCACGGGGACCCATAGGTTTGTACTGAAAAACATCAGCATATTTTTTTACAAGCTGCAAGCTTCTTCTATGCCTGTCTTGGTGGGATTCAAATCCCAACCCCTCAGAACATAAGCAGGTGAATTACCAGTGAGCCACTGGGCTTATACTTTGATGCAATTTTGAGAGAATATGGGATTAATCAACATGAGTAATTAGCCAGTGGACCTAACTATTTAAAAAGTTGGCATATTTTTGATGAGTAGTATTTTGATTTCATGCCTTTCCCACCAATGTAAATATGGCCTACCTGGAATTTAAAGTTTGCCCACACACTTTATGAAAATCATTCTATATAGAACCATGAACACTCAAGGAGGGTTCTTTGCATCATTAAAATGTTCTTCAAATTCATAGATAATGTGTTTTAAATGGTTCTATACATAACCTTTTTGAAAAGGGTTGTTACAGGCTTGACATCATAACCAAAGAAGAAACCTCTTTGATGCTGTATAGAACCCTTTAAAAAGGTTCTATATAGAACCATTAACAGCACAATCAGCAATCTGAATAACACTTTAATCATGCACATGGTTATTTGAGTGTCATGGTTCTATATAGGACCATTTTCTTTCCTAAAGAACCCTTGAAGAACCATAATTTTTAAGTGTGCAGAACTCTCAGATTTGAAGGCAGACAATTTACCCCTGAGCCACTGGGCTTTTACTGTTGCAGTACTTTTGTAACAATAAAATTAGTGGCAATGTGTTGTTCTGGTGTTCTCTCAACTGCATTCAATGTCTAGCTAAAGCATAAGAGATACAGACATAAATAATTAAATTGCAAAAGTCTATCATTAATGTCTATTTTCAGTCATGAGTAATTCTCAAAACTTGCAAATGATCAAGGGCAAAACTACAGAATTCCTCCTTCACCTCCTTCACCTCATCTGATGGGCTAAATGATTTTCCTGTTTATTCTCATTATCCAAAGGTTTCTCCTTCACTTGTTCAGCTCTTCAGTCTTTGTCCCCTCACAACATCAGATAGCTGGGATGCTCATAAAAGCTTACATGACAATATTTTATCTGTCAGGATGACTGTATTAGCTAAAAGTGGACAAATTGTGGCCCTTGTGATGAATGTGACATCAAACGAGTATCTGTCTACTAACTGATATCAAACTGGGTCAGTTTCCTCAAAGTAACACAACATACAATGTTGTAAAGTTCTGTGAGAATTGATCTAAATATTCCTGATCCATAGCCATTTTTGTGAAATGCCTTTCTTGCCTAGGTAAATGCACACAAGCTACATCTACCCTCCAAGTTTGGAGTCTGGATGGCTTATAGTGTCTTCTCCACAACACAATTTTCAGGAGAAAAAGAATTAATATGTGGTGTCCAAGCACCAATCAGCTGAAAGAAGTCTAGTACATCAGACTGGGGCCTTTTCACAAATGGAGAGTCAGATAGGGAGTCCTTCTTATGTTCTGATTATTGATCAAGTTTAGTACAAATTAGTACTAAATTAGTACAGCCTGTCAAATTCCTGTTGAAAGCTGGTCTGCTGATGGCGTCTGCAGTTTTCCAATTATCTGGTCATTCAAAAAAAATACTTTTAAGTAAGTTCAAATATGCAGCATGCAAAATCTCCACTTAATTGGATTTACAGATGCTGAGAAACACCTACTTAGCTAACCAAAATTGACAGACTACCTCAGAATCTTTTGACACACAAGCCTATCAAGTTTTTAGTCAACGGAGCTCTAATAAAGAAGTAATAATTGGCATGTGGTGTCCACATTGTTTGCATATGTCATAATTTATTTTTTCTTTTTATTTTGTGAATCTGCAGATAATTGGATACCAGTTTCATGAGGATTAGATGAGTATGAGCCAAAAATCAGCAACACCCAGAATTATGGCTGTAAGTCTCATGGTGTAGGAGATACAGGCCAAAACATAATCTCGTGTGCCTGAGTAGTGGGAGAAAGTACAAATTATTGGCCTGGTATGGTTTAGTCTGCATGATTCGTTTTAGGGATGAAAAATAATGTATTTGAATCTTAGCAAAAATAAAAAAAACAAATAAGACCATGTCAGTGTCATCAGAAACCTGTTATTGCTACAAATTATGAGTGAGCAATATAGCAAAATTAAAATATCACGACACGTGAAGAATTGTTTATGATATTTTGAGAACAGAAACAGCACCAGTAGTGCCATATTCAAAAATGCTATAAAAACTATGATTCTTATTCAACATTTTTCATATTGTGCTGCACTAAATCCAGGTAAACAAGACTAATTATGTTGTCTTTGTACTGAAACACTCAGTTGTTCAGTGTTCTTTTTTATGTACTGCCAATATCCACAATATGCTCAGCTTAACATCATACATTTTTGCCTAGTGTTATGTTTCCTGGTACATTTAAAAGGCTTAACGGCTGTCTTGGTGTGCTCTCAATAATGTGTGGTGCTCGCTTGATAAAATGTGGTACTCACAGGATTTGAGTATCTGATGTCACCTGATAGTATCTGGTGCTCACCTCATAGTATCTGGTGTGTACTTGATAGTGTCTGGTGCTTACCTGATTGTATCTGGTGCACATTTGATCATATCTGGTGCTCTCCACATAGTTTCTGGTGTGCACTTGATAGTATGTGGCTCTCACCTGATAGTATAGTAGTAAGTGCAAGTGCTCCCAAAAATGTAAAAGCATTCAAGTATTATCCATCTAACCCTATCTTTGCTACAAATTGTAGTTGGGTGTCACGAATACCACCAACAAGGCTATGGACTCGATCTCCCAGAGGATGACCTCCTCACTGCCTACAGACTCCATTCCACACACGGACTACATCTCCCAAAATGAAGAGCGAGATCAGCTGACTGCTGATCTCCACACTCGCTCCTATCAGCGTTCACGGTCGCCTGAGTTTTAATGTGTAACACTGTATGTTTTGTCACATGACTACTTCAGAGTAGCTTATAAGCCCGGGCTTTAGCAATAGTTAGTTGCGCGTTATTTCTGTTGTGTTATTTTTCGTGTATGACTTGTATTCTCGTTTCCCCGACTCTGATTTCTGGTTTACCCTTCTGGATTGTCTGCTTTGGTTCTCTGTTTTTGTGCCTTGACATTTTTGCTTGCTTTTTGACTACAAGTTTGGATTCCGATTTCAACATTAAAGCCTGGTTGAATTCCTTTATCCGCAAGTGTCTACCTTCTGTGATCTCCGTTACAGAATACCTCGCCATCATGCAGACGGCGGATCAGGAAGCTTTCCAGAAAACTCTGACCGACCAAGGACAGTTGCTTGGGAGTCATTAACAGGTGTTGACGGGGGTAACTCATTCTCTGGAGACGTTAGCTCAACAACAAACCAAACAGCAAAGCCAGCCGGCTCAACTAGTGACAAGTGTGAGAGGATTATCCAGCCAGTTGCAAAACATGAACTTAGCGACACCGGAAGTTACATCTCAGGCTCCCCTGAACATGAAGCCTCTTCTAATTCATTCCCTGTAAGTAAACCTGATAAATTTGAGGGAGATCCGGATAGATGCCGTGGGTTCTTATTGCAATGTGCAGTATTTTTTGAAAACCCTCCCTTCAGTTCAGATCAAGCTAAGATAGCTTTTATAGTGTCGCAATTAGCTAATAAAGCCTTAGAATGGACTACTGCGAGTTGGTCTCATATCCACCGACTATCCTATGCCCAGTTTTTAACAGAATTCAAAACAGTCTTTGATCATCCGTATGAGAGCAAGGTTAGAGGTGAACTGTTGTCTCGGCTATGTCAAGGCCATTGCTCAGTGGTTGATTATTCTCTGGAATTCTGAACTCTAGCAGCTAGTAGTGGGTGGAACGATGGCGTGCAAGGATGATGATTTGAGTCTCAACCAACTAATCAATCTAGCCATACGACTGGATCAGCTACTCCATCATTGCACGCCATCCAAAGAGGAAACAAGAGCCAAGAGAACATTGGCCCGAGTTAAAGTCGTTTCCAAACAGCTTGACGGCACCGAGCCCATGCAATATGAATCTTTTCTGCTTTCCCAAGAAGAAAGACAATGACGGTTCAAAGAACAACTGTGTCTTTATTGTGGTAAAGCCGGACATCGACTCCATGAGTGCCACACCAGGCCACAAATAACGAAGTTTACTCCACGTGCTAATGTGGTGAGTGTACCCACAAAGGGGTTGGTTTCTAAGTCTGTTATGTTACCTGTTACTATATACTGTCAGCTGCAATCTCTTGTCATTTCAGCCTTGATTGACTCCGGAGCAGAAGGCAATTTTATACATGCAAGAGTGGTGGAGCAGCTGCAGATTCCAGTGGAGACTTTGGAGAAAACTTTGAAGGTGACAGCGCTTGATGGAGGTCCAGCAGGTTTGGGGATCATCTCAGAAGTCACAAGACCAGTACAGCTACAGAGGAGCGCACTTCATTCAGAGACATTACCCCTATTAGTATTACCACATTCCGAATTTGAGATGATTTTGGGTCTCCCTTGGCTAGCGAAACACAATCCCTCCATTTCCTGGAAAAAGCATGCCATTGAAAAGTGGTCTGACTTTTGTTTACAGAACTGTATCAGCTCCCCCTCCATCAACTTAGCATCCACTTCTATAGAAAGCCCCAGTGTTAACGATGAATTCCAAGTCTCAGCTGAGTATCTCGACCTAAGAGAGGTCTTTAGTAAAAATAATGCCACAGTTACCTCCACATAGATCATATGATTGTGCCATTGAATTTGTAGAGAACCCTGTTTTCCCCAAGGCTCGTATATACCCACTGACACAAGAAGAAGAGAAGGCACTAGACACATACATCAACGAAGCCCTAGAACAAGGATTTATTAGATCATCCACCTCCCCCGTTGCCTCTAGCTTCTTTTTCATTAAAAAGAAAGACGGGGGATTACACCCTTGTATCGATTATCGAGCCCTCAATCAAGTCACCAAAAATTACCCTTAACCTCTGCCCCTAGTACCTGTTGCCTTAGAACAATTAAAAGGAGCTAAGTACTTTACCAAACTCGATCTCAGAAGTGCATACAATCTAATTAGAATAAGAGAAGGGGATGAGTGGAAGACAGCTTTCGTGACCACTAGGGGGCAATATGAGTACCAGGTGATGCCCTTCGGGCTCTCTATCGCCCCCTCTGTTTTTCAAGCCTTCATAAATGAAATACTCAGAGAGATGCTTGGGAAATATGTACTTGCATACCTGGATGACATCCTAGTCTATTCCCCAGATAGGGACTCACATGTTAAGCAAGTTCGATCTGTCTTGCAAAGATTACTTGAGAATAGCTTGTACTTAAAAGGAGAAAAGTGCAAATTTCACCTACAAACAGTGTCATTCCTTGGTTATATTATCAGTCCACAAGGTCTGATCATGGATGATCACAAAGTAGATGCAGTGCTTCAATGGCCCACACCCACTTCAGTAAAGGAATTACAAAGATTTTTAGGTTTCGCCAACTTCTACCGTCAGTTCATCAGGAACTTTAGTGCTATTGCGGTTCCTCTTACTTCATTACTCAAGGGTGGCAGTAAGAAATTAATCTGGACAGAGCAGGCAGAAAGGGCTTTCCAGAAACTCAAACTAGCCTTTACCACGGCCCCTATTTTGAAACACCCAGACCCCTCCGAGCCCTTTGTTATAGAAGTAGATGCTTCTGAGACAGGAGTAGGGGCAGTGTTATCTCAAAGTTCAGGATCACCTCCCGAGTTATACCCCGTAGCCTTTTACTCACACAAACTCTCCCCAGCAGAACGAAATTATGGTATAGGAGATAGAGAGTTATTGGCAATTAAATTAGCTCTCGAAGAATGGCGACACTGGTTAGAAGGTGCTACACACCCTTTTGTGGTACTGACCGACCACAAGAATCTAAAGTATTTATGTTCTGCTAAACAATTGAACCCACGCCAAGCTAGGTAGTCCCTCTTCTTCTCTCACTTCAAGTTTGGCATCACTTATAGACCCAGATCCAGAAACACCAAAGTGGATGCTTTATCTAGAATCCATAACTTAGACACCCCTAACAGCTCGGTAGACCAGGTGGAAAGTATCCTTCCACCTGAAGTACATATAAGTGCCATTCGCTGGGAGCTAGATGAAGAAATTGAGAGAGCACTACCAAATATAGAGGTACCAGATCATTGTCCTTCAGGGAAGATATATGTACCCAACCAATTCCGCACTTCCCTAATTACCTGGGCTCACTCATCCCTTGCTTCAGGCCATCCAGGAGAGACTAGGACACAGCAACTGATAGCCAATAGATACTGGTGGGAGACTATGAATAAGGACATTCATTCTTTTGTCAGTTCATGTTCCACATGTGCCCAATGTAAGACCCCTAAAGCATTGCCAGCAGGCGATCTAGTGTCTACCTTCTGTGATCTCCATTACATTGGGTGATCTGAGAAAAATATAATATGAAGATACGTGAAAAATTTTCATGACACACATTTTAATTTTGCCTGCGGTTTCATAAGCTGGAACAGAAAAAAACACCAGTAGTGTTATATTTAAAATATATGATCAAAAAAAGATTTTAGTTCAACATTGCACATATGCAAAATTACATAATATGTTGATATCTGAGGTGAAAAGCTCAGATTGATAGTGTACTTTTCTGCTGTGCATTGTTGCTTGAGTTAACAGAAGGAAATCTTTCGTGTGACCACATCACAAAAGGCATTGCTGAAAGAATGCAAAACAATGTCTAGATAATCCAGAGGCATTGTAGAGAAAATGCAGCACACTGAATAAGTTAAAATGGAACCAAGGGTGTGTTTGGAGGAAAAAAACAGCATGTGATGACAAGAACACCTTACTAACTGTTACAATCTCAATCTGTTGTGCTTTGCGGTTGTGTGGCAGCCTGTGGCACAGGAAGCAGAGGAAAGTAGATGGAAGAATGGATTCACTAAACATCAGCAAATCATAGAAGTAAATGTAATACAGTCAGTCTAGAAAACAAAGCTAAAAGAGGTCAGCTTCTATAAGAAGACAATAAGCCAAAACACCTCAAAATCCACCATGAACTACACTCTCAGAAAAAAAAGGTAGTAAACTGTCAATGCACCCCTCTTGTGACTGGGGTCTTACCTTCAAGGGTACATCTTCAGAACTTTTATTTAAGGAACATAATTGTATCATGTACCATTGCAATTATATTTTTTAGGTTGTATCAACTCCATTCACCCTGTCTTGACTACAGGCTTTTTATTTTATTGTTATGTTTTAAGATAAAGAAAAACAGGTGCTTCCACCAACTAGGAGAGGTCTATATTTCAGCCCATATGCAAGACTTTTATTGGATGTGAAAGGCAACAAAAAAGGATACCATTTTTAAAAAAAAAAAACTGTCAAATTAAAAACAGGTGGCCCCTAATCAGAGGAGCACTCTCATTTCCCCATCAGTTAATTACATATAAAGTAACTGTCCATTAACATATGAATACAACTTATATATTTGAAATAGTTTGCTGTAGAGGTAGTGTTTAGTTCTTTAAATCAACAAAATATGTAATTTGGCCAGAGGTGTCCAAACATTTGCACACTACTGTATTTTGTCTATTTATTGAAACATACAGTTGTTCAGTGTTCTTTCCTGGTGATGTGCTCAGAAAAGAATACTGGGGCAGGGCACAATGTATCACAATTATGTTAGAATATGGTCATATTTCCCATTCTTACAACAAATCTTGTTCCCTGGTGGATTTAAAAGACTTGCTCAACTACTGCCTTGTGCTTGCGCATCAGCTCACTTACAGTTTACAAAGTAAAAGAGGCTGACACAGAATAAATTAAAACACTTCGTGTGGTCCTTTAAGAGTGAAAATGAAAGAAAAGAAGATTATACAGAACAAAGTGATGGCTTTTGTGTGGGGTGTGCTCTTTGTAAGACTGAAAATGAAAGTAAACGTTGTTCAGTCTGCTCTTGATATCTGAAACAGGCATCAGGCAATGACACCGGTATGATATAATATCTTCGTGTTTGTTTTCTGACAGTAATTCTCAGTTATTATAGTTTCTGCAATTATAATTATTTATAGTCATTATAGTTTCAGTCTTGTACAGTTTACTGAGTGATAGTTAAGAGTAATGAGACGCTTTGGGGTGAATATGTAATGCAGGACTGCCAGCTGAATGAGGAAGTTAGGTTTAATCTCACATTCACATTTTATGTCTAACTTGAAACAACCTCCTGACCAAATTAGAGCATTCATAAAGTTTTCTACAACTGCTTCTACCCTTCCAGCTCTCTCTGGTTAAAGAAATGTCAGGTTTCTGTGTTTTTAATAATGATGGATCAGTTCTGGAGCTGGGTGGTGTCCTATGTATAAAGGTTGTGTATACATAAAAATGATGCTCAGCAGCAATCTACATAAAGATCAATATTTATGAAAGTGAAATGAGAGAATGTACGCACTCTTCCACAACCTATGGAGGTGATGTTGGTCTACTTATATTTGAGAGAGAATGGGGATTTCAAACAACCGGAAGAAAATGGAGGCAGGTAGAGTGCAGAATGAACGTGTCGTGAAGAGTCTGTTCGTGAAAAATCCAACAAAAGAAAAGAGCAAATTCAAGTTTGTTTGTTTTTAATACATAACCAAGTTGAATGTACATTTCTGTTGTCAGTGCAAATGATCTCATTATGACTTCACTGGGTAGAGTAATTATTGGGATTAAATAATAATAAAATAAGAATTAAGAGTAAGTACAGGGGTAAATGCCTTGGTTTTTTGATTGTGAGGCCATTTTGATTATATACAGAAATTCATTATTCACACATTAACAAAAACATGAAACCAGCTGATTTAATAAAATAAAATATTATTTCTAGAACTGTATTTACATCTACTTAATATTTCAGCTTAGTCTAATCATTTTGTAAGCAAAAACATAAATGTGAATTATCATCTCATTGTTGAAAAATACTTGAATGGACCTGTTTGACAGAATAATGCCCTTTTACTCCCTGTGCAAAACCGCTGAAATATAACAATGCTGACACTATCGGCTGCAGGACAACTAAACTGAAGGCCTGGACACAACACATTCTGGAAATACCACTGTCTTTGCACCATGGCACTATCAGAGGGAGCCATATAGTCATTCATAATCATGCACACCCATACATTATCTAAGCCACTTATCCTCCTCGGTTGCAGGGGATGCTGGAGTCTATCCCAGCAGTCATTGGGCGGAAGGCAGGAAATACCCCGGACAGGCCGTCATTCATAATAAACCAACAGAAATCAGTTTCATGAAGTGTTCCCAAATAAGTTTCAAAGTTTTACTCAAAATTACTAAAAGAACACTCAAAACATTGCACATAGGTAGTAAGACAAGCTAAACATAATAATTAAAAAAAAAAGACACAGAAAATGGTGTGCAATCAGCTGAGATTCATTTAAAGCATTACAATGTTAAATACTTGTACATACAAATATTTATTCCCTATGTTCAAAATATTCACTTATTTCTTCTTTTAGCTTCCAAAATGAGTTGGAAAAAAGGTAAGCAGTGGGTTCTACTGGCTGCTGGATCCAAAGACTGGAAAAATTACAGACATCAGGTATGCTTATTGCTTATTACAGTTTAAGTAAATTTTAAAATTAGTTAATGTCTCACACCACTTATAATTAAATATTTTCTTTAGCGATTTATGTTATAACATGATTTAGGTTTTAGTTTCTCCCTTTCTCCCTTTCTCCCTTCACATTTTTTTCTTTATTCATTAGGCGAATGTCTGCCATGCTTATCAAATGGTTCACCATAATGGCATTCCAGATGAGCAGGTTGTGGTGATGATGTATGATGATATAGCTTACCATGAAGAGTGAGTATATGGTTTTGTGGAGAAATGGCTTTATATAATGCCTTTATTTGTAAACTGAAATGATGTTTGTGTAGTTAAGACAGGAAGCAGAAAGACTCCAGCTTTTCTTTTTCTCAACAGAAACCCATATCCAGGAGAAATAATCAATGAGCCTAACGGCCCAAATGTTTACCCAGGAGTTCTGAAGGACTACACTGGAGATGTATGTGCTCTTTAAAACTTCCATTTCATTTCAGCCTGTACGCTGCCTGATTATACTTCTGATTACTTTGCTATGTGAGCAACTGTTATGAATTTGCAGACTGGCATGTGGGAACACATGGTATAGCACTACAGACATAAGGAACCATTTATTATTATATCTTTATATCACAACATTTACACCAGTTTCTTTTTTACATTACAACATTTATGTGCTAGTGAGCTCAAAAACACAAAAAAGGCCCGGAGGATCACAGAAAACATCTGTAGTAGATGACAGAAGATTTTTTTCCCTGAGAAGAAAACCACCTTCACAACATCTGGTCAGATCAAGAACACCCTCTAGGACAGGGGTCCGCAATAAGCAGCTGCGGAGCCACATGCGGCTCTTTAACTGCCCTGTTGTGGCTCTAAAGCAGAATTTGATTTTAGGTAAAAATAAAATAATCCTCTGATAATGATACTGAGACTGACAAAGCCACGAACTGCTGCCATGGCCTCCACAATCCCAACTGTTGCTGCAGAGCTATTGGTAACAGAACCTGTAGAAGAAGGGAGACAAGAGATGCTGGGACCCAGCTTTGCTCATCTAAAATTGCTGAATAGATGTAGGCATCCTTACTTAAAATAGGCCCTGAATCATGTCAGAACAAAGCTGTGAATGTTGCTCAATTGTAAACCAGATCACCAGAAGAGGTACTTCTCCAAAGATAATTAGCAAATGGCAAGTAAATATCAAGAGTGTGCCTGCTATTTTTACCGCCCAATGCACAGTAAAAGTAGTGTTTTGTTTCACTTTTAGACTATTTATGACTTGTTGCTGTTCTAAAAATTACCTCTTACCTCTTGTTAGGTGCATTTTTGATCCTACCAAGCATGCACATAACATTAGAGTAGTAACTTCATGTTTCAAACATTTTATCGCAATTTTAATGTTAATTCTGTATAGATTCAACTTAATATTACTATTCACCCCCGATAAGATGATTTAGGCTGTCAAAATATCTGAATTGTTCTGCTGGTAACATTTTATCATAAAGAGATTTAGGCTGTCAAAATTTACTACCCTTACATTTCGAAGCTGGTAGCATTTCCTGATAGGGTGATTTAGACTCTCAAAATATTCTACTTGTAGTTTTGATGCTGGTAGCATTTGCAAAATGTCCTGCATGTTAGGGCTGCATGGTTAATTATATTTTTATTGTTATCAGAATATAATTTTTCCATGATGACATATCATCAAGAGCTGAAATGACAGAACAGATTACCTCATATTCGCAGTGCCAGAGAGATGTCATTATATTACAATTATTCTCACACCCTGTATTAAGCGTGTGAGGCAGTAATGGCTCTTTTCCAAAACTGGCACTGGTCCAGATGAGTTGTATTGACTCCACACACACGTCCTACTCCATCTCGTCTCCAGGCTTTTTATTTTATTGTTCTGTTTTAAAACACAAGTACAAATATGTACTTTTTACCTGGAAAAAACTTTATTTAAGGTTCACAATTGGACCTTAAAACCACTGTTGTACCTTTGAGGGTACATTTACATTGTTTGTACCTTAATGAACAAAAAATGTACCTGCACAATACTTTTATTCTAACAGTGTTGTGTATTAAGAAATTGTTGTGTATATGTTATAACTGGCTGCAGTGTTTGTGTTGTTCTTGAGTTATCTTGTTGAGTAATTTATCACCTGTATTACATCACTCGGTTTCTTTTCAAGCTTCAGTGTGTGTGTGTGTGTGTGTGTGTGTGTGTGTGTGTGTGTGTGCATCATTATTATGTTTTTCTGTTTCACCCAGCAGTAGCATTACTTTCCCTTGGTATTTTCTCATCTGTCTAGTAGTAGATAGATATGATGTTTGTGGTTGTTTTTTCATGGGAGGGGGCTTTTAAAGTGTAGCCTAGGGGCCCCTGATCACCTTAATCCACCAATGATGGTGGAGGTAGTGTCATGGTATGGACATGTATGGCTCCAGTGGAACTGTATTAACTGAGACTGACTGCTTTTTCTGTTGTGACTGTTTGCTTAGTTATTCATTTTGACAGCTGACAACAGCAACAAGGCGAAGTGTATAGGGCTGTAATATCTGTTTAGATTCAGTCAAATGTTTCAAAATTCATTGGTCAGCACTTCACTGTGCAGATGGACAATGACCTGAAGCATACTGTGAAAGCAACCTAAGAATTTTTAAGCCAAAGAAGTGGAAGGATTTGCAGTGGCCAAGTCAATCACCTGATTTTACTACAATTGAGCATAAACTGAAGGTAAAACACCCCTAAAGAACTAAAGTCAGCTGCAGTAAAAGCCTATCAGATCATCACTAGAGAAGAAACCCAGCATCTGGTGATGTCTGTGGGTTCCAGGCTTCAGGCATTCATTAACTACAAAGGATTTGCAAGTATAAAAAAATAAAAGTGGATGACTATGTAGTTTGTCCAATTACTTTTGAGCCCCTAAAGGGGGGGGGCTGTATATGAAAATAGTTGTAGTTCCTACACTGTTCACCTGATTTGGAGGTAAAATCTGTCTATGCCTTCATCCATTCATCCACCTACATGTTCTTTACAGGATGTATCCGCTCGTAACTTTCTAGCTGTGCTCCGTGGAGATGAAGCAGGTGTTGACAATAAGGCAAGAAGACCAAAAAAGGTCTTAAAAAGGTAATTTTCTCAGTTGAGCGAATTAGTTTAAAACAAAAACAAAGGGTTAAAAAAAAGTCATTTTAATGGACTGTCCCACTCTCTTTCTCAACAGTGATCAAAATGATACAATTTTCATCTATCTGTCAGACCATGGCAGTTCAGGACAATTTGGCTTTCCCAAGAAACCTGTAAGATGAGTTTAGTTCGTGTTCAGCATTTGACACATTTAAAAAAAATAAATAAATCAACCTTTCAACATTTTATCATTTCAGCTTTATGCATCTGACCTTGCTGGCACCGTAAATATGATGTCCCGACACCAGCAGTTCTCAAAGGTCAGTAATCAACTACCGCAATGTTTCATGCTTTTGTTTTTTGTTGTTTTTTTTTAAGAAACATAATTTACATTGTTATATGTAACATTGCAGATGGTGATTTACATAGAAAGCTGTGAATCTGGATCAATGATTGAACATCTCCCAGGAAACGTACAGGGCAAGTTTTATTTTGACTGTAACTACTAAACTAGTATAAAAGAATAAAGTTTAGTTCCACAGATGTGTCCTCAGTACCCCCAGCCACCACATAGATTTATTAAACTCTTTCACCAACCCACTTAATGAAACATGGACTAGCCAAACTAGGTATTTGGAAATGGTCTGGAATCATTAAACACACACACTGACATACATAAAGCACTATTCTTATGTTGATGTTGTTTGTATTATTCTAATATTAGTGTTCTTCTGAGCAAATAATTGCTTGCTGCCCAGATAAATAGCTTTTTAAATCCTTTGTGCAGCTAGTACAGTGACTGAAGAAGATTCAAGTTTTCATGCTTTTATCTTTTGTCCTCTAGTTTATGGAGTGTCTGCCTCCACTCCATATCAGTCCCACCATGCCTGTTTTTATGATGAAGTCAGATGTACATTTCTTGCTGGTGAATTCACTTCATACTGGCTGTTACACTGCAAAATGGTCAGTTATGATTTTTTGCTTGACCCCCATTAAAACAAACAGTAAATCAATAAATGTTTATTTCAGTGAAAGTATAGCACATTTTCAAAAGATCTTAACTGCTTATCTATTTCTTCTTTAAACAGTCTGACCTCACTAGGACAACTTTCCAGGATCAGTTTGATTATTTGAAGGAGAAGGTCAAAAATTCTACACCTTGTCAATACGGCAACAATGTAAGTACAAACTTACAACAGAATTCCAAATTAACCCCTTGAACCCTCAGCTCATTATTTAGTTAACAGTATTAAGATTTATTATTTAGTAATCATCATAAATTGTAAACTACAAATCCAATTCCAAAAATGTTGGGACGGTACGTGAAATGCAAATAAGAACCGAAAGCAGTGATTTGTAAATCCACTTTGAGCTGTATTTAAACAAAAGAAGTACAAACACAAGATATTTAATGTTTTATCAACTTCATTGCTTTTTGTGGACATATGCTCATTCTGGAACTGATGCCTGCAACATGTTCCAAAAAAGTTGAGACAGGGGCAGTTTAAAACTGGGAATGTTGTGAAATGTTCAGAAAACATCTTTAACAGGGGACGTAATGTGTTGGAATTGAAGAAGCATCCAGGAAAGGCCTAGTCCTTTATGAGGATACATTGCGGCTCACCACTTTGCCAAAAAATACATCAAAAACAGCAAATACCCCAGCTGACAACAGTCCTCAACAAGCGTTTGCAAAGTTTTTAGGTATTTCATGCTCTACAGTGCATGTTATCAAAAGATTCAGGAAATCCAGAAACATTAGTGTGTGAAAAGCAAGGCCAAAAACCAAAACTGAATGTTTAGTCAAACACTAAAAAGTTGCGAAGATGAACTCGCTTCTCTTTCTAATTTTCCTGTTCCACCTTAAATGGTGCCACATTTACCTTCGGCGCCTCAGTCAGAATTTAAGGTGGAACGGGAAAGTTCAGCAAGAAGCTGGAGAATGAGAAGCGATTTCAGCCTCGTAAAACAGCCGATAGCTGAAAGACATTTAACAAGAAACTATTCAACTTTTGAGGAAAAGTTTTCTGGCGGAGATGGAAGAAAAGCGGCTATAGCTAAAGCTTAAAGCAGAGTAGAGCAGGTCCGCGTTTTCATTTATATTGTTTAGTATATACTAGGACATTAACACACCCTGAGACATACTGGACATTAAATGTTGTGGCTCCCAAGGTGGTTTGATTTTTGTTGAAAGGACAAAATGTCTCTTCTTAACATTTGTGTTGTGACTCCTGACCTAACCTGGCTTTTAATGCAGAGGGAGCCGGTCGGATTTCTCGCTCATCCCGTTGTGTTTTTGCTGTGTGCCGCCACAGACTGTCCGGGTGCTGCACTTCCGAACTTCCAAGTTCCGCCCTTTGCGTTCCGTCAACATTACGTTATAAATTAAATATTTAGAAAATCGATTTTTGAGGTTGAATGAATCGATTCAGAATCGTGCACGTCCGCATCGCGATGCATCTAAGAATTTTTTCCCGCACCCCTAATGTTCTCTGGGCCAAAGTAGTAAAAGGACCATCCATATTGTTACCAATGTAAAGTTCAAAAGCCAGGGTCTGTCATGATATGGAGATGTGTTAGTGGGTAACTTGCACATTTGTAAAACCACAATTAACTGAAAGACACATACACATATTGTAGCAGCATTTGCTGTGTTTTAGATGCCATCTGTGCTTTATTTCAACATGACAATGGCAAGAAACATTCTATATGTGTTACAACAGAATGGCTGTGTAATCAAATCAATAAAGTTCATAAAGTAAAACATCAAATATCAGGTTTTAGCACTGCTTTAAATTTAAGGTTAAACAGAATTTACTAACTGGTTTTGTAACATAAGGTAACTGGGTTTGTAATATATAAGTAATCAGACTAAGAAAATCAATGAAAAGCTTTTACACGAATAAACATAAAACAAAGCATCGCTTTCTTTTTTTCACACCTTTCTCCAGGAGCTTAGCAAACTCTTCATCAGTGACTTTTTGGGCTGTCCTGACTCCAGAACTCAGGCAGAGCATGCTAGTCGAGCTGAAAACTTCAAACTAACACATCTCACCCCATCCCATGAAGTCCCACTGATAATTCTACAAAACCAAATTCAGAGAGAAAAGCACCCTGACAAAAAGAGAGCTCTACAGAGAGAGTACGACAAGCTTCTGGGGGTAAGGATTGATGCCAGTCCCACTGAACTGACATATTTACTTCTTATTTTACTGTTCTGTTTCATAGCCATGACCAGCTTTATTATTCATTTTACCAGTTTTGAACAGCTTTCTTATTCATTTTTCTTAAACATTCGCCCAGTGTGCAATCCCCATCCATAATTATTTAATTCACAAATTCAGTTTCACTGCAGCGATTAAATCATATGAATATCCCTTATTATTTTTCAGAGAAGAAGTAGGATCGAAAGGGCTGTGCATAACATTCTAAAGCTTACATGCCCTGAACGAGGCCTCACAGTACTGGTAGAGAGACGTCCACTAAATCGACTGGACGATATGAAAGATGTAGCAGAGCATTTCAGACAGACCTTCAGTAAGTGGCATGAGGAGCAGGTGAGTTGTGGCTTTTTCATGTTTTTCATATAACCAAATACAACCTCAGCTTTATGATATTACATAAAATATCAATGAGTTGATTTTTTGGCTACTCTTGCATGAAAGACAATCAAGGTTTCTCTTGTTTTCTCTCTCTCTCATTCATTCTAGGACGATTGCTTTGTTCTGACATATATGCATGTATTTGTCAGCCTAATTGAGTCTGGGGTGAAGGTTTCCAGGTAAGTCAGAAAAACCCCTATTAAAACTGAATACAGTCATTTTCAGCTTGACTTAGATTGAAGAGAAATGTGAATTACTGAACATCCTGAATTGTTTTCAGTCTTTATACCTATGTTGAGCATGCTGACAACAGTCTCTACTGCTGTGTTAAACCAGTCTTCATATTTTTTTTAGGATTAAAGAGGCTATAACTCATGTGCGCTTTTTGCAATGATTCCATGAATGCATATGACCACGCAGTCCATCATCTGTTCAACACTGAAGCTTGTGCTATCCTGTACTGCTGATAAACTCCTGCTTCAGCAATCATCAATGAAGATGATGTTCATAGTAATTGTACATTGCAGATATAGTTTTAATGCTATTATTTTACAACACAGTATCCCAGTGTCAGATATTAGATACTCTCTAATGCATCTAATGGCCGAATCCTTTCACTTTTTGTGTGTGTGTGTGTCTGTGTGTGTGTGTGTGTGTGTGTGTGTGTACACCCACAATTTGTACTTTTCATGACTCGATTAACAATATCAATCCACTTCTTACACATATGGGATTTTTGGTGAAAAGCAAAAGAAATGAGATTTTTACTCCTAACGCGGATATTTCTGATATCGTTGATATCTGTTTACTATTCAGTTCAATTCAAATTTATTAACAGGCATCTTCGCAAAGTGGACAGAGTGCATGAAGGTTTTGGTTTGGTTTGACTTCAGCCTTGTGTATCCTCCATGTTTCGTTTAATTCTTTATCTTTTTACTCGCTAGTTTGGCCAATGAATATCCACACATGTAATTGTATACAGATAATAAAAATGCATTCCATTGACCCTTGACCCTAGTGTTTAATTTCAGTTTACCACAATTGTCTAGGTTAGTAAACAGTTACTCTAGTATTAGGACATTAAAGTTTTTTTAGTGTGAAAAATATGTTTAATTTTCCATTCTGTAAATTAGAATAATTGAGGATGTGGAAAGAAATTCTGCGACAGTGTTCTATTTCTCATATGACACAGTGGTTTTATGTGGTTCAGAAAAAGGTTAAATCATCTTTCCTTCATCCTGTAGGAAGTTAAATATTTTCCTAAAGGCAGAAAACTTGTACAGAGATAAAAACTGATGATGGTGGTATGTAAAGTAGAACTAGAGATTTGCACAGCAGATTTTCTGCACTGCTCTTAAGAACCGATGTACATTACATATAATATGTTTCTTACACTTACATGTAATATAAACATTGGTTTATAAGTTGCATGTACATGTAAATATAAAATATATAGATGGTTGCAGTAAACATTTGTAAATAATGTTAGGTTTTTGTATTGCTGAATGTTAATATGTAATAATGTAACACACTTTGCAGCATTATGTATGAAAATATGAAAGAGTATAGAGTAAAATATGATTATGTGAATAACTGATAATCTTTACAAGTAAATTTAATAATCTTGTATCTGATGTCTTTCTCTGTAGCCTCTTGACAGGAAGCTATATGAAAGTTTAAAAAAATCTGAAGAATTCTGAACGCTTAAATAAGATCAGACCTTCGTTTAAGTTTTAACAATAAAGATAACCCAATAAAACAAATAACATTCGCAATTATACAGTTTTTCATTCATTTATTGAACAAAACGACCACACTCTATGTGCATCTGAAAAATATTTGCCAGTGCTTGGACTGGAAGACGTTCCAATATGGAGTTCGTTTTGTGTCAAAATGTTTGAAAGAAGATCCTGATGTTTGAGAGAGGAATGTTCCGGTTTGAGAGGACAGCGGTGCTCTGAGTGCGCAGCTAATGAACTTGAATGCACTTGTCAGCATGAAGTGCGCAGGTAAACACCTCGGATCTGCTCAACAAAACACTTTGGTTTCATTCAAAACTTGAAAATCTGCACAACAATGTTTTTCCCTCTCAGAACTCGAACGTGCAAAACACTCCGGTTTTCACTCAAAACTGGAAAAACTGCTCAATCATGCTCTTCACCTTCAAAACTCGCACGTGCGCGCAAATCATTTCTGTTCTCAGCTCCGCAACGCGCGCTCAACTTTCACATCTGCTCGCTGTAAAATGTCTGAACGTTTGTGCCAAAACTCCAGCCAATCAGAGCTATAGAAGATAAATATACAGGATTAACAAGATGAGCCTATGAAGACAAGCGCCATAGGAGAGTTCAGTAGAACACTGTTAGCCACTGTTAGCTACAGTCAAAGAAACCTTGCTAGCAGCTTAGTAGATCAATGTTAAGCTATTTGAAGTGAGCTACCGTTAAGCCTCTGGTAGGGAACAAATGGAGCTACCAATGTTAGCAAGAGCTACCAATGTTAGTTAGATTAATACATTATTATTTATGATGAGCATTACTGATAAATCGTTTCTATTCATTTGCTACAAGAAAGCTAGAAACCGTCTAGCTAATGTCAAGGCTACAAGCACACTAGCTGACTCAGTACCACAGCCATGAACGTGCCTTGACCAATTGGCATAAAGCTGCTTAAGAAAAGGTGCCATGATTGGTGCGCTGGCAGGAATCGCCCTTCGGCAGCTGTTATGTGGAGGAATAAGACAAAAGAAGATCT